GGGCAGGCCACATATATTTGTCTGTACTAGGGTAGACAATGAAATCCTGACTCCGGGGTTGACACTGACTCAGGGACAGACCTTGGTGTGAAAAACCTCCTCCATGCTGCACTTGGCCTTTTGGGGGTGGGGTGATGTTATTTGTCCACTCTGATGGGGGTAGCCTGGCCTCTTCTGGGAGTCTAGGTCTCAGGAAAACAACGTTCTTGAAGAACCCTTGATGGGGGGAAAACTGCCCGGTCCTGCAGGAAGATCTGTCTCAAGTAGGGTTGGGGAGAAGAATGACACACAGGAAGCAAACTCAGGGTTCATTTTGAAGCCAGCTTTCCTTTGAGATAGTTTGATCTTTGGCAAGTATTTTGTCTTTTTAGCCCTTTAATACTTAGCCTGTGTTTTAAGGAGGAGGGGTTGTGTCGAGGAGTTAAGAAGTGATAGGGTAGAATCCCACAGCTTCTGTCTCATGCTTTTGAGAACTGGGGACACTTGGGCAACCTAGGCTCGAGAAGGAAGAGTATTGTGAAAAGGGCCTGCCTAGGGTGGGGCAGGCGGGCAGGAGGAAGTGGCCCTCTGTAAGGAGCGTTGTGGAGTTGTGGCTAGGGGAGCTGGGAGCCCGCAGTGGGAAGGTCTGTGGTAGGAACTGAAAGTGGCCTGGAGTGGAGCACTGGTGGTCTGGCACTGAGGGTTTGTCAGTCAGCATTAGGCAGGATGGGCCCCTTGTCCTTGGCTTTGTCCTGGGCACCCTTGCTCTTTATGGCTTGGATAGATACCCAGCAGGTCTGCTTATCCAATTTGTAGCTGACACAAAGCCAGGAGGGATTTGCAGCGGATGGGCTCAAGGCAGGGTCGTATCCAGAGAGACTGCAGTAGATTAGAACGAGGAGAAAACCACACAGAATTGTGAGGGACCAGGGAGACTTGGTCTGGCCCCAGGTTAGTTCTGGGAGTTGTGATTATCAGCATTGGCTAGCAGTAATGGGACTACTGAAAATTAGCACAATCACACTACTAGAGGTGTGGTGGCATGGCAAGGGAGGGAGCAGCTCCATGTCAGGTCAGGTTTCACCAGGTACATTAAGTTTGGTTCTGGGAGTTGTATACAAAGAGAGCATCAGAGGAGAGTGAACACTTGAGAGTAGAAGGGACCTGCCTTCAAGAAGGGGGCATACTGGGGCTGTGTGACCCAGAGGCTGGGACTCCTGCCCTGACATTATACAAGGAATAGAATTGTTTGGGGGATCAGGAGTGCCATTCTTAGGCTCTTGACCTGCATCAGGTGCTAGACTGTTTTCTGAAGCTCTAGAGCTGTTACTGAATACATGCTTTGTGCCTCTGTCCATCCTTTCAGGGCCTCTAGGACTGCTTGGTTGCACTTTGATTCATCCCAGACCACCAACTCAGCTGAGCTCCCAGGGGCAGGCAGGACTGAGCCTTAGCTGACATTCCACACACTTAGGCACTTAGGATATTTTTTGGTGCTTAAAGGTCAGAGCTGGGCTGAGAGAAGAGCCCAGGAAAGGCAGCTAAAGGCTCCAGGGCTGACTTCTCCCCTATGGCCTATCCTAGGACCGAGAGGAACGGAAGCTGCTGCTGGACCCTAGCAGCCCTCCTACCAAAGCCCTCAATGGAGCTGAGCCCAACTACCACAGCCTGCCTCCCACTCGCACAGATGAGCAGGCCCTGCTCTCCTCCATCCTTGCTAAGACAGCCAGGTGAGCACCAAAGGACCAAGCCTGGGCAGAGCTTCTCCATCGATGTTAAAGGAGGGATAGAGGGACTGGGCCCAGGACATGGGGGATGGGACAAGGTCAGTGGCTAGAGGTGCCTCTGGGCCCAGCCCTGCTCCAGTGGGCAGGCAGGGACACTGGTGTCAGATAGCCCTAGAGTTGGCACTTGGCGGTGAATCCTGTGTGTCCCTCTTGAAGCACCTGTCATGTTCCCTCTGCCTCTTCTCCCCAAAGCAACATCATTGATGTGTCTGCCGCGGACTCCCAGGGCATGGAGCAGCATGAGTACATGGACCGGGCAAGGCAGTACAGGTGAGACCTGGCCAGCGTCGGGGACACACACACACACACACACACACACACACACACACACACACACACTCATACTCACACACCCGATGGGCTCCTTGGGCACACACACACACACACCCCAGACGGGCTCCTTGGACACACACACACACCCAGACGGGCTCCTTGGGCTCCTTGGACACACACACACACACACACACACACACCCAAACGGGCTCCTTGGACACACACACACACCCCCGATGGGCTCCTTGGGCTCACACACAAACACACACACACCCGACGGGCTCCTTGGACACACACACACACACACACACACACACCCAGACGGGCTCCTTGGGCTCCTCCCTGCCCCTCCATCCCTTATCCAGCTTTGGAGCCTGAGCCCCAGTCCACGCTTCTTGTTTGGGTGCAGCCCAGGAGACTGATAACAGATCTCTCTGGTACCGCAGCAGTTGTTCATGTCAGCCCTGTTTGCCCCGTGGCCCTCAAGGGTGCGGAGGCCAAGGGAGGTGGGCCTGGAGCGAGTTTGTGGTGAGCGGAGGTGCCTGTCACCCTGCTTCTCTGGCCTGAGGGAGCGAGGCATGCCTGGGCTGGGCAGGGCTGGGCAGGGCAGGGCAGACCGGCCTGACTGCCCACCCCCTCCATCCTCTTGGCCAGCACCCGCTTGGCTGTGCTGAGCAGCAGCCTGACCCACTGGAAGAAGCTGCCGCCGCTGCCATCTCTCACCAGCCAGCCCCACCAAGTGCTGGCCAGCGAGCCCATCCCCTTCTCCGACCTGCAGCAGGTGAGCCGCCCCTGCCTACCCTTCCCTCACGGCCCAGGCTGTGGCAGAGGGTTCACCCTCTCCGTCTCAGAGGCGGTAGGGAAGTGGAGTTAGGGAGCTTGGTAGCTCGAGTGCCCCACTCACCCTCACCTCTCGTACTTTGTATCTTCTTTCCACCTTTATTTTCTTCCTCCCCTTTGTTCTTTGCTGTCTTTCCCATCCCTGCCTTTCTCTTTGGCTCCCCGTCCCTCACCATCCCCTCCTCTCTTGCCACCCAATCCCCCTCCCCGGCTTTCCGGATCTCCCTTCTCACTGCCTCTCTCTGTTCCTCTCGTCCCTGGCCCCTCTGTCTCAGGTCTCCAGGATAGCTGCTTATGCCTACAGTGCACTTTCTCAGATCCGAGTGGACGCAAAAGAGGAGCTGGTTGTACAGTTTGGGATCCCATGAAGAGAGGGATCCTTGGACAGCTCTTCTCTTCACCCCGTCTCCACCCTGCCTCCCCTGGCCCCCAGCCTCACTGCGGCTCACACAGTACCCTAACCTGCTACTAATCACAGAGAAGAGTGTGGAGGAGGAGAAGAGTGAGGCTGGAAGGCTCAGCAAGTGAGGACGGAGTGAGGGAGGGCAGAACCATTTGGGACTGGCGTTCATAGCCCTGGCCAGGGATGAGGTGGGGATCAAAAGGTTAGGGCCTGGTAGGTCTTCACCGTCACTGGGAAGGTGGAGGTACCACTGTGAGGGTGATCCCTGGGGGGCCTATCAGGGGCCCCTTCCCACCCTTTCTCTTGGCCTCACTCCTGTCCCCCTCTCCCTGACTTGGTGCTCATATGCACCTCACGAGGGTTTGTGACCAGGGTCTGGACGAGCTTGAATTTGAATGAATTGAGTTTGTATTTCTAGCACCCTGGGTTTTTACATGTTTGGGGTTTTGGGGTTTTGTTTTGGTTTGTCGCCCTCGATAAAGGAAGTGTATTCATCTGTGTGCTGGTTGCAGCCCCTCTGTCCTGCCCACCACCCTAGTACTACTTCTGGTCTGTGAGCAGCGAGATGGGGGAGGGGGAGGGGCACGTCTTCCAGGGGCACTGAGAGGAATCTAGAAGATAAGGGTTCAGGGTTCCCAGGTCTTAGCTGGAACTTGGCCTGGGCTAACCTCAGATTGGATAAGACTGTCCCTTCTCCGGTGATGGGAATACTGTCAAAGCTGAACAAACTTGAATCCGAGGCAGCTGTCACTGTTGGGGGCCCTGCCTCAGGTTCAGTGGAATTACCAACAAGCCCAGGGTTGGGGGCGGGGGGGAGGGTAAAGGCAGACCAAGGATACTTGATACGGAGCCAGCAAGCCACTGTTTTGAAGCAGAAGATTCTTTTTATCAAATGAAATCTCAAGCAGAACACCAGCATGTGAAACAGTGGAACTACTCTGATCTGATTGAAGTGGGGGGTTCAGAGATCACAGCCTATAAAATCTCTGAGGCATTTCCACAGAAACTTGGCGCTCTGTGAAGCAGCTCTGACCCCAGGATATCTGAATTGAAGAGTAAAAGAAAGGGGCCCGGAGAGATCAGGTAAGTTTCTCAAGGCCATACAGTAAACCAGGTCCCCTGCATCCCAGGCCAACAGGCCTTTCCCTCCACTGCCTCCCTCTTATCAGAGAAGTAAGACTGGAGCTACTGACAATTGCCTGAGTTGGAGGACATTTTTACAGGGCACAGATGACTTCACATCTGCTCAACTGCTCAAATCGTTTATTGCCAAACCAAACTGACCATCCTCGGCCTTTAGGACTGCTGGGGCCCTGGGAACCTCAGAGTGCATTCTGCTTGATCCGGACCTTCTTGGGCTTGATGTTCATGTGTTTCCACACTTCAGCTGTGGCACGGTCTGCCTTGGTGACCCCACTGAAGTCGAATGTGGTGATACGGGGTAGGGTGCACAGCACATATTGCCTGTGGGGAAGACTTGGGCTGGGGGCCAGCCCCCCACCGGAACCTCCTTCCCCCTCCACCAGTTGGTGCTCTCTCCCCTAACTGCAAGAATGGAGGGACTGAAGTATAATTTGGGGGAGACAGAGTTTCCCGACGGAGAGTAAGACAGGAAAGATCTCCACTCTCTTCTCTGTCCCACCATGGCAGAACAATGGTACTGGACTCCCCACCTCCTTTTCCTCAGGGGAGCCCAGCTTCAGGGCCAGGGCACTTACCTATACCCCTTCTGTTCCTCTATGGGGTTCCCGTGGAGTGTGAGGCTCCGGAGCCGCGGGAGGACGGCCAACTTGTTCACCTCTCCCAGGCGCTGGATGCTGTTGCCGTGGAGATAGAGTACACTGAGGTTGAAGAAAGTTGTCAGGACCTGTTGGGGAAGGAAACCAAAAGCCAGGATGGACAGGGCCCTGGATCTGTGCTCAGGACTGACTTGGGGGCCAAGGAGGAAAAGTTTGGGAAACAGCTTGCTTTCCAGTCTACGCCACCCCCCTGCAGCCATTCTGGATAACTCCGACCTACTTTTCATTGAACTCTGAGGAGTACAGGGGTATCACATGGCCATAGAGCTGTGATCTGAGGGGCGGGAGGTATGGGCCTGGGGCCTAGCACAGCCACTGACTTGCCAGGTGACTGGGTTCTCCTGCTTCCCCTTGAGCCTCAGTTGCCTCTACACTGAAGATCTTTTTAGCTTTGGTGATCTAAGAATCTTTCATAACAAGGGATAGGGATAGAGAGCATCACGCTAGGTACAGAAGAGAAGTTTTCAAAATAGTAGTTAAATTGAGATCACTACAACCTGGGGAATAGTTTCCAACTCATGCTGTAGCTGCTTTTCCCCTCTGATAGCGATCCTGGACAAGAAAGGGTCAGTTGTGTTTTATTTCTTAAAACTTGAGTCTGAGTTCATGGAAAATAAGTGCTGTGCTTTACCTACCTCTTCCACAGAAGAACTCAGCACAAGGCACAGTGGGTGCCCGGTAACAAAAGCTTTATGTTCCTGCAGCCTGCTACGTGCCAGTTGGCTTTCATAATTCTCATTTAATCCTCATAAAATCTTTGTTTTGTGGGGGCATGTGCTCCCCATCTTTCAGACAGGAGGGCTGAGATTTTGAAAGGTTGGGTATCTTGCCGAAGTCCCAAAGTAAGAGACAAATCTAGGATTTGAACCTACATCTGTCTGAGCCCACAGCCATGTACTTTGCACAGCACTGTACTGCCACACTACTTCCTGGAGAATGTGTGGGAGGTAGAGAGGCTGGGGGCTGGACGAGGTGGTAGCAGGCCCACCCTGACTGGACACTCAGGGCTGGGGACTCACAGGGTCAATGGAAGTCAGGTCGTTGAAGGACAGGTCGATCCAGGCCAGGTTCTCTGGATGCTCCAGAAGCAGTGAAACCACATGGCTGAAGTCTCTCAGGTCATTGAGGACATTGTTGTTCAGCCACAGGGACTGGGTCAGTGACTTCCCTGACTTTGAGTGCCTTATTGGTCGTAGCCCTGTCCGTGGCTCCTCACTCGTCAGGTCTGTGGGGATAGAGTGAGACGTGGGCTATCATCTTTGCTTTTCTGTTTTAGGGCTGGGAAGGGACAGAGCTGGGAGGATTTACAGCCTAAGCTATAGCTGGAGGGCCTGCCAGGACCATAGCCTCATGCTTGAGTCTAGCATGGCTCTACCTGCTGTCAGTACAGGACCCCATCCCACAGGCCTCAGGAGTCCAAGTAAACTTGGACTAAGGGTCAAAGACTTCCCATCCCAAATTCTTGGTTTGGGTCACATGGTCTCCTCATGTCTGTCATATCATTGGGTTTGGGGACGGGGGAGAGGCAAAATCACTCTCACTTTATGGAAACTAAGAACTAGAACTGTCAGGCTTGAACGAAGATGATTATAGCACAAAGTCTAGAATTATCCACTGGTAGGACCTATAGCATTCACTTCAGTACAACCCTCTGACGTCCTCTCTCTTGCATTACTGCTGAGCAACTGTATATGTGCCAGATACCGGATGTATAGTGGTAAACAGAATGGCAGATGGTGTGTGCCAAGCTCTGGACGAGTAACAAGGCAGGGATGAAGCAGATGTTTGTGCCTTGGAGGAGCTCATACAGGCAGGATGAAAACAAGCAATGACAGCGATGGAATCATGCAGAAGGACTCCTAGCTCAGTCTGGGCACTCAGGGAGGTCGAAACCTGAGCTGGAGCTCGGTGGATAAGGAGACCTTAACCAAGCAAAGGGTGGAAAGGGCAAGAGTGGCACCACACAAGTAGAGGCATAGAGGTGTGAAACGGCGTGTATGCATGCACTGCTCAAGGTGGGGGCAAGGAGGAAGAAGCCAAGGAGCCTTGAATGCCAGGCAGAGTATTTTGGACTTCATTCTGTAGATGATGGGAAGCCACTGGAGGGTTTAAACAAAGGAGATGATCCAAATCTTTCACACTGCAGAAAGATCATTCTGAAGCTTTGGCGTGGAGATGGATTAAAGGGAGTGGGTGTGACTGGAAGACCAGTGTGGCTCTTTGAGTCATCCAAGCAAGAGATGAGAGGGAGAGAAAATCAGCATGACTTCAAGTGACTGGATGTAAGCGTAAAAGAATAATATAGGGTGGTGCCCAGTTTCTTGTCTAGGGGACTGATAAGGAATTAGAAAAAGACAAACCAGGGTTGGAAAGGTGAGTTCAGGCTTAGCCGTGGTGTGTGTCTGAGGTTCCTATAACACAAAAAGGTGGAGAAGCCAGCCAGGCAGTTGGATACAGAGGCCTGAAGCTCAGGAGACGGATGAGAATCATTAGCATAGAAGGTGTACAAGTTAGAGAAGTAGAGGAGATTCTACATGGAGAGTGAGGGTAGAAAGGAGGGACAAGGAGGAAGGGGAGTCTAAATGAGTAATGAGGGAAGGACGGAGGGAGAACCACAAGAAGATAATTTTACAGATGCTGAGGGAGTCCATAGTTTATAGGAGTGAATTTCAGGGAGATAAGGACTGAAAAGTAATTTTGGCAACTCCAGCCCCTGGTGACCTTGGTGAAGGCTGTTTCAATGAAATGAGAAGGACCTGGGGACAGAAGCTAGATTGGACTAAGTTCAAGAGTGAAGGGAAGGTTAAGGAAATCTAAGCAAGTAGTGTAAACAACACCCTCAGAAAGTTTGGCCAAGGAGGAGAGAGAATAGGGAAAACAGGGATGTTCCAAACCATCTGTGTAGACCCCCACACACTTTTTGACAAATGAGGTAGAGAGGATGGGCCCTGCCCAGAGTCATAGTGGCAGAGCCAGAACCAGATACCCCCTATGGCTGAGGGGACTGTATTTTTCCTCTTGCCCCTAAGCCTCTCATTACTTGTCTAAAGCTGTCTCCAGGGAAGGAAGTATTTAGGATTTGCTGAAGCTGGCTAGCCGTCTTCACTCCCCTCAGTTCTTACTGGACACACTTCGTCCCTTCCACCTCCCCCTAGGGTTAACTTCCTCTCCTCCTCGGCTGCAGGTCAGGCAGCATCCACCAGGTGGCTCTCCACCTTAGTGCTGGAGTGAGCAGGATCCCCAGTTGGGGCCTGAGCTGGGGGGGGGGAGGTCACAGAAGGGCACTGAAGCAGAGTATCCTGCCCCCCCCCCACCTCAACATATCCTGAGAACCCCCAGTGAAATGACACAGCTGAATAAAAGTTAGGGTTAAAATAAACCCACATATAGATTAGCATCCAGCCTGATGAGGCAGCAGCTTGGAGACTGCCACTAAGCATGGGCAGATCTCCAGCTCAGAAGCAGCCACTGGTGGAACTGTGTTGCCTAAAACTTGAGGCTCCCATCTGGGCTGCCGGTATCAAGAGTGGAATGGTGTATCCCATTGCTACAGGTTTCTGTTCCCTTCAGATTCCACCAGCGTACTGCATTGCATAAGGATCTGTTGAAGCTGCCTTGTTCAGAGTAGGCCAAGGCAGGTCTGGAGTACGGACCACAGATATCAGTGCCCAAAGAACTGGGGAGTGTTTAGCCCCAGGAAGACCTGGGAAACGTGATCCCGTCTTCGTATCTCTGAAGGGTTGCCACACAACTTTTCCATGTGTCCCTAGAGGGTGGGAGTTAGTTTGATAATAACTTTTTCACGTCATCCCTCACCCCATAATGGAAGGGGTTGGTAAGTGTGTCTTGCAGCAGACTCCCTTAACACTGTAGGTTCGTGCGCAGAAGTTAGAGGACTATGGGTTGGATATGGTCTAAAGTCCTTGCCATTTCAGAATCTATAATCCATCTATTGGTTTACTTTAGCAAATAGTCTATCCAGTACCCCCAGACTCTTTCCACAAGCTCTGGGGAACCTGAGGGGACTGGCCTTTTGGGGCTTGGATGTGCTTCTGTCCCTCTCTTTATGAGACACAGCAAGGAGCACAATGCCTGGCATGTATGTATACACGTGTGCTCACTAAATAGTAGGTGCTCAGTAAATATTTAACCACTGAACGAAGGAGAGGGCATCTGTACGGACCATGGTTTGTGCTGTGGAGTCATCTGTGGTTGTAGTAGATTGTTTCTCCCCTCATTTTGAAGGTTCCAGAGAGTGCAAAGCTCTATTTCCCCGCTCAGAGTTGGGAATTCCCGGGTAGGCAGGAGCCATACTTCCCTCATCTGTCACCTCAGTTACCTTGTACAGAACCATTACAGCTAAAACCCTTGTGAAACACAGACTACATCAGTCAGAAGTGATGCTGTGCACAGTCAAAAAAGATCACGGTAGGTGGGTGTATGCTCCTGAAAGAATATGAGTTACCACTGTGGCTGGCGCAAACCCAGTAGTATCCCCAACTCAAGCCAGGCCTAGTACCCCCTGGATAACTATTTGCCTTCTTCCTGAGCTTAAAAGTAGCCACCAGTTGCCTATGAGAGAAAACCAAAGCCAGATACTGGGTCTAGGATATGTGGGTACCAGCATGTGTTCGGTGAGAGCAGATGTACAGTGTTTTATGAGAAGCCAGATAGCAAAAGCCAGGGACAGAACTTCCTTGGAAAGAAGCATATTACCCTGAGAATATGATACTAAGAGCCTCCCTCTGTCCCTTTCTGAAGAGTATGAGCCACCTATTTACAAAGACACTGAATAATAAAAATGGGAATGAGCATGGGTAGTGCTGGAACCTGAAATAATTATGGGTGATAATGGAATAAACTTGGATAGGGCTGGAATGAGTATAAGATATTTATCAATAAATATTTAAACTGGAAACATGCCCCTAATAATGAGACCCTGCATGTTTTACCAGTGATCAGAATAGGCTTGTGTCCTCAGAGGAGATAGGGTTCCGCCTGTGTTTTCATTCATTTATTCCTCTCTTCAGGTAAAAACAGGAGAATAAAACCATAGGCAGATAAACTAGTTTCCCAATTTCCTTCGACCTGACTTTACTGCTGTAGCCTGGAATCTTTTGAAGATGATCAATTACCCCTTACACCCCTGCCACCTCCTTACCCCCTACTCCTCTCAAAAACAAGAAAAAAATCTGCAAGCACACAGGAAGACTCTCTTTAAGCTCTTAAGTAGAAGACGGCTCTCTCCCTAGGAACCATACCCAGCCTGTTGCCATGGTGAGTGGAGTGCTGTGCTCTGTGGGCTGACCTTGGATCACGTGGATGCTTCGGAAGGAGTAGTCAAGAGGGGGCTCTTGCACCGAAGTGTTCATATAGTCCTGTTTGTTCATAGCTCAGGCCATCATTTGTCAGGTGTAAGCATTGGCCCTGGGAGTCCGGGTTCAGCCTGGGGGCGATAGAGAAGGACTGGTGTTCCAGGTACAAGGGGTTTAGGCTTCCAGGTATCCCCAGAGCCCTGCACCCTTGCTTTCTACCCTCCACCACTCCAGGCTTGCCTGGCTGCATTTCTGTTTTAAGACAGTAATCACCACTCCTTGCATTTGTAGGGCACTTCCTACTTCTCAGAGCACCTTTACATCCCTTAGAGCTCATTGATAGTTGTAACACCCATTTCTGCTTTCCACATAAAGAAACCGAGACCCCAGGGTAAAAGCACTTGCCCAGAGTTAAGCCAGTGAGTCAGTGTGGACTGCAATCCTAGACTCCCGAATCCTATTCTGAGGCCCTTTGTGCTACTCCACAGTAGTTACCATGGAGGCTGTCTTGGTACCTACACTCCAGTGACATCAACTGGGCTATTCTATTGCTTAACAAACCCCTGAGGGCCTTCATTGGATCTGGTGTCTGACAGCCCTTTGCCAGTCTGACCCAGCTGGGGCTTTGCTACCTTCTCTGCTCAGCTTGTCTCTCAGCCTCATTTCCTTTCCATCCAAAGACCCTACTTTCAGCCACATCCCGAATGTACTCCTACATATATAAGCACATACACATAAAACCAGAGTCTACCTCACTCACTCACCTGTCACCAGTGCCTGAAACGCCACCATTAGGGATTCATTCCTTTGGGTTCAGGGATTGTTCCCTGTTAAAATGGAAATACCCCTGAGAGGGGTAAACACAATGTTATCAGTCATTTACAATGTGGTGTGAATTGTCTTATCAGATCCTTTCCAATTTGTTAGCTCAAGTAAAGCAGAGATATTTTCTTTCTTTTTTTTTTTTAAAGATTTTATTTATTTATTTGCGAGAGAGAATGAGAGACAGAGAGCACAAGAGGGAGGAGGGTCAGAGGGAGAAGCAGACCCCCCGCTGAGCAGGGAGCCCGATGCGGGACTCGATCCCGGGACTCCAGGATCATGACCTGAGCTGAAGGCAGTCGCTTAACCGACTGAGCCACCCAGGCGCCCTAGCAGAGATATTTTCAAGAGACTGGGGAAAGCCATGAGAATACTACTTACCTGGGAAGAAGAAAGCTGAAAACACACTTTACCAAGGGGTTTTGTATGTGACAGATACAAACAAAAGACACATAGACTGACAAGGACATGTCCCAGTCAACCTCCCCTTCACTTCATCCCCTGCTGTCACCTCCTTTGCTTACTACACCTGCTTTCCAAAAGGATTTGAGGTAGTTTATATATATATATATATATATATATATATATATATATATATATATATATATGATATATGTATATAACAACACTCATAAAACAGGATGATTTATAGAATGGAGTTGTCCAACTGAAATATAATGAACACTATAAATGCAAGCCACATAAGTAATTTTTTCACATATGTAATTTAAAATTTTCTAGTAGCCATAAAAGGAAAAGTCAAAAGAAACAGGTAAAGCTTAATATATTTTATTTAACCCAATATATCCAAAATAACATTCAACATATAATTGCTATTGATAATTGAGATATTTTATACATCCCAATTTGGACAAGCTACCTGTCAAGTGCTCAATAGCTACAAGCGTCTAGTGGCTACCAGACTGATGTAGGAAATGGAAACATGGAAGGGAAAGATCAGAAGCAGACTAAAGGAAGAGAAAGAGATGTACCATGGAATTAGGAACTGGCCTATGTTATCTCTGAAATTCCCGGCAGCCAAAGTAAAAAGGGAAACCTTAGGATATGCAGTTCTAGATTATATGCAGAAAATGAAATGCACACATTTTCCTAAAATGAATTTCTCTTAAAAACCAGGGACCTTGGGGCACCTGAGTGGCTCAGTCGTTGAGCATCTGCCTTCGGCTCGGGTCATGATCCCAGGGTCCTGGGATCGAGCTCCGCATTGGGCTCCCTGCTCTGCGGGAGGCCTACTTCTCCCTCTCCCACTCCCCCTGCTGTGTTCCCTCTCTTGCTGTATCTCTGTCAAATAAATAAATAAATAAATCTTTAAAAAACAAAAAACCAGGGACCTGACAGTTTATAATTCAGTTTAAGCTTAATACAGTTTGAGTAAATTCCTTTTTTGGTGTTTTAATGCGTAGAGGAATGGGAAGTGAATGTCTTCCTCTCAAAAAGCAGCAGTCTCAACTGAGCTTTGTGGAAGTGCCACTTTGAGTCATTTCACAGTTGAATTCTCTGTCAAATCAAGACTGGCCTGGTGGGCACAGACTGTTGATTAGGGAGACCTGCATCTTTTAGGTTATCAAATATACAGACAGCCAAAAATAACACAGGCTTTTCTGGAAATAGAGGAACCTGGCTTGTGTTCTCACCTCGACAGAGAAGCCCATTCCACTAGAGCACCTAAAACAAGTTTGATGTCTTTGAGTGAGATTGGATACTTTTCTCAAAGTCCTGTGTTGGGACCCCAGAGTTCTGCACTGGACATGGATTTTAGCTTAAAATATTTAAGGGCAGAATTTTACCATTAGTTCCCTTGACCATCAGAGAACCTAACTCAGTGTAGTTCCTAAGAAATTCTGACTTTGTGTCATACACAAATGCATCATCCTGATGCATTTTTCTGGATGAGTTAGTATTAAAAATGGAGCCCCCTGTAGTTAGATAAATTTGCCAGTTGGAAACAGTTGCTATTCTTCCCCATTTAAATAGTAGCCCAGACTGTGAGCTAGCACTGTGTCTATTCATCATCTGACACAGAACCTGGCTTACAACAGGCACTCAAGAAATGTTTGTGGGAGGAATGAATGAGAAACTGCCAAATTCAAGGCTTTCTGTTTTTCTAGTGTTGATCGTAAGCTGCTCTTTCTAACAATTGGCTCCCAGGTTCAGCTATTTCAGTCTACACCTCATTCACAGTAAGAAACTCAATTCAAATCTGCAAACATTTATGGAGTGCTCGCTGCCCTGTCCCTGACCAGAAGGAATGAAGCCTAGATAACAAATAATAGGACAACCCTGTCTGTCATGAGCACAGAAAAGCCTGCTAGGTTTCCACTGATTGTGGCAAACCAGCCTGCATCCAGTTCTAAGAAACAGCTGCCTACTTAGTGAATATTCTCATGTTTTAATACTCAGGCCTAGTGTACTCTCTTTGATGAAGGCTGTCTTTCCAGATAAAATTGGTCAATGTGTTCTGTGGTAGATTGATTCCCTTGATTATTCCTATTCCTGGCCTCCCTGGTATCTATCTCTTTTGCCCTATAACTCTGTAGTTCTCCACTCCGATGTTGGGCTCAGCCATGTGACTTGCTTTGGCCAATGGGATGTTGGTAAACATGAAGCAAACAGAAAGCTTAAAGAGCTTGCCGTCTTGCTTTTTGCCTGTGCCAAGAGAAAATGGCTACCCTACAGGAGGGATGGGAGAAACATGTGCAGGCGAGATAGGTGCAGAGAGCTAGTGTTCCCAGCTGAGGCCATCCTAGACTAGCCAATAGCCAGCCTACACCAAGTCAAGTTCAGGATAGTCATAGATGCCTGCAGACCCATGAATGAGCCCAGGCAAGACCAGAAGAAACATATGGCTGACTTAGAGACTTGAAAGCAATAATAAATACTTATTATTTTAAGTCACTATGGTTTTGGATGGTTTGTTATACAGCAATAGCTAACTGATACATGCCCCTACTATACTTTGAACAAAATTTTATCACAGACTGTTTCCTCATCTGTAAAATGGAGATATACCTATCTTGAGAGCTATTGTATATCCTGCAGCAGGTGCTAATATTAATACACTGAAGTAGCTGTATTCTCCATACTCTTTTTTTTAAAGATTTATTTATTTGAGAGAGAGAGGGCATGCACACGTGAGTGGGGGGAGGGGCAGAGGGAGAGAATATCAAGGAAACTCCCCACTGAGTGGGGAGCCTGATGTGGGGTTCAGTCCCGTGACCCCGAGATCATGACTTGAGCTGAAATCAACAGACACTTAACCCACTGAATCACTCAGGCAACCCCCCACTTTTTTTAAAGTAGTCTCTATGCCCAGTGTGGGTCTTGAACTCATGACCCTGAGATCGAGAGCTGCACACTTTACTGACTGAGCCAGCCAGGTACCCCTGTACTCGTTTCTTTATAAACTTTCTATTCCTTCCTTGTAAGCTCAAGGCCAGGGACAGAAGTCAGACTTCTTTCTCTCTTCCCACCATTACTCTGTACTGAGCCTGGCAAAGAGTGGGTCTTCACTAAAGGCTTGATGAACAAATGGATAATGGACAAATGAAAGAAGAAATGAAGAGTGTCTTCAGGTGTCACATGGTATACCTGGCTGCTGGGTAGAACTGACTTGAGGTTGCTTTGCTTGCTTCAGTGGCTGCGTTTTTGGAGCCAGTCTTTCCCAGCTGCTGTTCTACCTCATGACCAGTCAGATGCCAGTGCCTTCCTCATCTGTCCAGGCTGACTTGACAAATGACAAGTTTAGAGGCATACCTGTCTTGTTTTGGAATTTTTCCTTTCCAAATTGGAAATACCTTTTATTTTATTTTATTTTTTAATTTTAAAAGTTAACATGATAGCTGAATAAAGTCAAACAACATAGAGAAGTACATCAAGTAGAAACTAAAAGTCTGGGGCACCTGGGTGGCTCAGTTGTTAAGTGTCTGCTTTCGGTTCAGGTTGTGATCCCAGGGTCCTGGGTTCAAGCCCCGCATTGGGCTCCCTGCTCGGCGGGAGGCCTGCTTCTCCCTCTCCCACTCCCCCTGCTTGTGTTCCCTCTTTCGCCGTGTCTCTCTCTGTCAAATAAATAAATAAAATCTTAAAAAAAAAAAAAAAAGAAACTAAAAGTCTGAGTTTCCATCTCACCAAGAACAATCATGATTAATGTTTGGGAATATAACCTCTTAGAAGGGATATATACAAAATTGTGTATATTTTTAAATAAACACATACTATTTGTAAATGTATTTTTTAAATTCTACTTTATAACTGGGATAACTGACATAACATTGTGTAGATTTAGATGTACAATATATTGATGGGATACATTTATACTGAAATATGGTTGCCATTGTAGTGTTAGCTAACAATGTATTTTTTCTTTTTATATTGTAGATTCATCCTTTTCTAAAAATATTTTTTAAATTATTTATTTGACAGAGAGAGAGTGAGTGCGTGCGCATGAGTGGCGGGGGGGGGGGGGAGTGGAGGCAGAGGGAGAGGGAGAAGCAGACTCCCCGCTGAGCAGGGAGCCAGATGCAGGGCTTGATTCTAGGACCCTGAGATCATGACCTGAGCCGAAGGCAGATGCTTAACTGACTGAGGCACCCAGGTGCCCCTAGACTCACCCTTTTTAATAACTGCAGAGTACTGAATAGAATTTGTGTGTATCCTATTAATTTAGTTAATTTAACTTTAACCAATCCAAGTTGATGAAAATTTGTTTTCAGTTTTTGGAAATTACTAACAATTGGGATTTGATTTGTTGTTAGCCTATTTCTTCCCTCTTTCAGGTAAGTAGCAATATGATGGCATAGGAAGTTTTGAGGAATAATCAGATGAGATCTTATAGGAGACTGAATGGCCTGGCCTAGAGAGGGTTTCTGTTTATGGGCTACAGGTGGAAGAAAAATCAAAGAATGTCATGAAAAGTCAGCCACATAATCTAGTGTGTTCTGGGAGGTTATATTCCCAGGTGCCACAGGAAGCCCAAGATGCAGCCTAGCTGCTGTCCAAGTTTACTCCTTGGAACACGTCCTTAAGCTAGACATGCTGTAAACTCAAGTTAGTGACTTGGCTCGAAGTTGACAAACTGGGGTATGGTCCTAAGCTGTCACTGACTTGGTGTGTGGCCTTGAGCAAGTCGCTGGTCCACTTTGGGTTTCAGTTTTCCAATCTGTAAAATGGGGATAAATATCCTTGACTCACAAAACTCAAGAGACTGAATGTGAAGGTGCTCGGTAAGCTGCCAAACATAATCTGTCATGAGACTGTAAAAGGAATCAAAGTCTAACTACCGAGCTAGGAGAAGCCGACCATAGGGGGAGGTGTAGGGAGAAGAGGTAAATTAGGGACAGGACCCCTAATGTGTGTGTGATGCTGCTGACTCTGAGAACGGGGCTGTACCCTGGGACCTTCCTGCATGTCAGGGAAGAGACAAGTCAAGCCCCATACATCTCCAGTATTAGGGCCGGTGATTTACTCTAATTCTACTCCCATGTCTTGAAGAGGTCTCAGTTCATCATCGAGGAAAAACCAACCCATTTTCTGAGTGTGTTTCAGATCTCCCACTGTCAGAGATTTGAGGTATCCGTATTAGGGGGTCCCGGGTTTGTGATAGGGGATGTTCTTAAGCACCCCCCAAATCCGTGTGGCTATGTATCTCATCGCCCTTCCCTCCCCTCCCCCGGTCTATTCCGTACGGATGTTGTGTCTTGTTCATTGTGCAAGGGGAGAATGGGTGTGTGCGGGAGGGTTTCTCAGGTCCCCAAAAAGGAAGTTCCTTAATCTCTCCATAGAGAGCGAATGGTCCCCTAGAACGAATTTCCTGTTTTCCCGCCCGACTCACCCGCAGTTGCTTTCCCTCCAGCCTCGGCGTCCCACTACCTCAGGCTTACTCAGCGCAACTCCATGGTAACTACCTACACCACCGCATCCTGGCCACAAACCTAAGTGCTGCCGCGATGCCTACTGGGAGTTGTAGTTCGCCAGGGGCGGTGCTCCAAAGCCGCGGGACGTGCTGGGATTCGTAGTTTTTTTTGCTCTCAAGTCCAGGCCGGATTCCGGAAAGAGTGACACCCCTTCTCTCTTCCCAGTGGTCCTCACACTTCCTTTTCCCGGGTCCTCAAGCGTGCCCTTGCGTGAGACTCCAGCCGACCGGGGCCAATCAGAGGGTGGCGCGTGGGGGCGGGGCCATAGTTTAAACTAATTGTGCGCTCACCGCGCTGGCGCGAGCCCGCACAAACACGATCCCGTGGAAGCGTGAGGCGGAGCGGGAGCGCGCGGCAGGTAACCGGCGCGGGCCCGCGGCTGGTGTTCGGTCTGGGCGCCCGCAGGGATGCCCGGGCCTAAAGGGGGTGCTGGAGAGGCGGGTGCGAGTGGAAGGCCTCCTTCATAACCTACTCTGACTGGGGAGAATCTATCGGGGGTAAGGTTTGTGAGGAGGGGGGCATGTCCGGGTGGGAGGAGGTGTCGGCGTGCCTAGGGGGAGGGTCTGTTTGGGGGCGTGTCTGTGGAATTCTGTCTGCGACCGGGTCGGTGGGGGCGGGGGGCGGCTAGTGCGTGTTCCTGAAATGCTTGTGACCCAGAGGTCCCAGGGAAGTCTCCGCCTATTATTGTTAACAATAACAGTAGTAATACTAGTAGTAGACATTTTCCGAGCACCGGCTACGTTTCAGACATTGTGCCACACCCTTTATATGGATCATTTTTTAAATATTCCTAATTGTCCTATTATCCTTTATTACAGATGGGGAAACAGAGGTATTTTATAGTGTTTACTTGGTCAGGATTACATCGCTAGTGCGTGGTTGGCGTAAATAAGGAGTGGGGGGGTAAGGGGCTGTTTGGGGGTGCGCGTTGTCTTGGACGAGTGACCTAATTTATTTTGAGCCTCATTTCCCGAACGTAAACAATGAACTTACCTGCCTTACCTACTTCTTGGGGTTATTCTGAGGGTCAGATCAGTTAAGTTGTTTCATGGAAGCATCTTGGAATGTACAAATATGCGACTGTAAGTTACTGTGTGAAGGTTGTGGGTGGGAAAGAGCGTAACTGGCTTGATGCTGCCTCCTGTGGACGTCCTCTCTTGCTTACGCCCCAGGGGAGTGCTTCTCATCTGGTATTGGAAGAGTGTCTGCATGTTTGCCCTTCTAGAACGAGACAGTGTCTTTTGTCCCCGTATCCTGATGCCTAGGCAGGTATGAGTGAAACATGTCATGGCTATTAATGCATACTTTGAAAGGAATGAGCTTTCGTGGACTGAAAGGAAATAGGAGCCTGGCTTTCCCATCTTCATTTAGTGGCTTTTGAACCTCTGTATTCTGTCTTTTTGTCTGGAATGGCACTGCATTCTAAAAATGTCATATTTACTTGCTTTAATCCGTGTTTCCCTCTCTCTGGTGTCTGTTGCCTGGTCCTGTATGTCCAAAGTTCTGGAATGTCAAGTGTGTTACTCTGTGGTGGACAGAAGCCTTGGATAAGGGAAATGGGGCTACCTTGTCGAGCTATTTACTGCTGTGAATATATGGGAACCCAGAAGGAACATTCAGACCAAGTAAGGTAGCTTTCCATCAGCAAGGATGAGTATATGTGTTCCCTCCCTCTCTGTTCCTGTATGGTTCTCCTTGTAGAGGAAGAAGCACATAATTCTCTGTAAAAGCTTCCAAAGTACTCTTTTCTTGGCCCAAGTTCAAGCAAATGGTGACTAGTTGTAATGCCTGATTCTTAATCTAATGCCAAAGCTGTATTCCCCCAAAGCTAAAAGACCTTACCTGAAAGCTCATTTAAAAAACATTTCTATTTAGAATGTTCTTTTCTTTATTTATGGAATATGGGAGTGAGAAGAATGCCTTGAACTAGTACTTGAGTTCTAGAACTGTTAGGATGGGGGGAAAGCCCTGCCACAGGTGGCTAAACAGAGCGGATTGGGGAATGTTTTGACAGCTGTGTCTAATTGATAACACCCTATGGTCAGTAAGTATGTTGGGGGTCACTTATTTCAGCCTCTTACCCAGTGTTATACTAAACATATCAAAAGGTGTTGTCCGAACTCAAAATGAGCACTTCCAACGATGAGACCACTCCCAAAGGCAGTCCATTTCAATATCAAGCAATTCTAAGTAATAATAATTATTATTGTAGTCTAACAGTATTATGTTTTGTGCTCTGTGATTAATTTCATTTTACCCTTATATGCTTGCTTTTTGTTTTTTCACCATTCTTGCATTTTATTCCTTTTGTGTTAAATAGATGAATATATCCTTCAGATGTTTTCTTCAGTGAGAGTCAGTTAGTGGTAAACACTCTGTGTGGAAACATCTTTATTTCCTCTTCAGTCTTGATAGTTTAGCTGGGTACTAAGCTTCCAGTTATTTTCTCTCAGCATTTTGAAAATGTTATTTTACTGAAATTCTGACTTTTTGTTGTTACTTTTGAGAACTGTGCTCACAATTTAACTATCATTTTATTGTAGGTAACCTGCATTTTTCTCTGGTTGTTTTAAAGATCTTACTGTTTGTGTTCTGCAGTTTCATTATATGGTGTAGATTTAATTGTATCCTATTGGGAGCTTATAGTGATTCCTCAATCTGAGATTTCATACCTTGCATAAATTTTGTAGAAAAATTTGCAGTCATTCTGTTTTTAAATAGTGCCTTTCCCAGATCCCATATTTTAACTTATGTTGGGCTTTTTTATTCTGTCCTCCACATCTCTTTTTTTTTTTTTTTTTAAGATTTTATTTATTTATTTGAGAGAGAGAGAATGAGAGGGAGGAGGGTCAGAGGGAGAAGCAGACTCCCTGCCGAGCAGGGAGCCCGATGCGGGACTCGATCCCGGGACTCAAGGATCATGACCTGAGCCGAAGGCAGTCGCTTAACCAACCGAGCCACCCAGGCGCCCCTCCACATCTCTTATCTTTCATAATTTCTGTCTCTTTCTGTGTTACCTCTGATTAATTTCTTTAAATCTATCTCCTAGCATACTAATTGACTCTTCACCTAGAACTAATTTACTTTGTGTGTGTTGTGTATGTGTGTGTGTGTGTGTGTGTATTTGTTTAAGGGTGGGAGGGGGAGAGGGAGAGGGAGACAGAGAATCTTAAGCAGGCTCCACAGCCAGTGCAGAGCCTGATGAGAGAGGGATCTCATGACCCTGAGATCAAGACCTGAGCTGAGATCAAGAGTTGGTTGCTCAACTGACTGAGCCACCGAGGTGCCCTGAGTTCTTACCTTCATTAGCTAACTTTTTCATTTTTAGAAGTACTCTTTGGTTCGTTTTTAAATCTGCCTCTTTGTTTTCTATGGTATCTTGTTTTTGTCTCATGTTTTTTTTTTCTTTTTATTAACATATAATGTATTTGTTTCAGGGGTACAGGTCTGTGATTCATCAGTCTTACACAATTCCCAGCGCTCACCATAGCACATACTCTCCCCAATGTCTATCACCCAGCCACCCCATCCCTCCCACCCCCCTCCACTCCAGCAACCCTCAGTTTGTTTCCTGAGATTAAGAGTCTCTTATGGTTTATCTCCCTCTCTGATTTCATCTTGTTTCATTTTTTCCTCCCTTCCCCCTATGATCCTTTGTCTCATGTTTTCAATTCATATAATAATTTTAAATAAACTTGTAGTCTCTATCATGTTCAATTTTCTGAAGTTTTTAGGGGTATAATCCTGCCATTTGTTTTAACTGACTCTTGCCCATGGTGAATTGTTTCCCCAAGTATGTAGTAGTTTTGGATTGTAAGTTCATATTCAAAGGAGCATCATCTGTGGTAGTCTTATGTAGCTTGGATTGAGGTCAGTTCCCTCAAGAGCAGTTTCTTTTTTTTTTTTTCCAGTGTTAAGTCAACTTTGCTTAGGCATAATTTATGTACAATAAACTCTATTTAAAGTGAAAAGTGTTTTGACAGATGTGTATACACCTATAAAAAGCTGCCACAAAGTATAGAGCAGTTCTATCATGCCCCAAAGTTTCTGCATGCTTCTTTACAGTCCATGTTTCCCTTCACCTTGGCTCAGGAACCTTTTTTTTTTTTTGAGGTTTTATTTTTTTGAGAGAGAGAGAGAGAAAGAGTAGGGGGAGGGGCAGAGGGAGACTCCCTGCTGAGCAGGGAGCCCAACATGGGGCTCATCCTGGGACTCCCTGGAAGCCGAAGGCAGTTGCTTAACCAACTGAGCCCCCAAGTGCCCTGCTCAGGAACTGTTATAGATTAATTTGCATTTCCTAGAATTTCATGTAAGTTAAATCATGTAGTGTGTATTCTTGGGCCTAGTTTCTTTCACATAGCATAATGCATGTGAGATTTATCCATTTAGTTGCATATATCAGTAATTTGTTGCTTTCTTTTGCTACGTAGTATTCTGTTGTATGGTTATATCATGTAATTTTGTTTATTATTCACTGTTGATGGACTTTTGGTTTGTTCCCAGTTTTTGGCTATTGTGAATAAAATTGGCTATGAGCATTCATGTACAAATCTTTGAGCATTTGTGTATTTTTCTTTTCAGAGTGGAATGGCTGGGTTGTATGGCAGTTGTATATTTAACTTTTTAAGAAATTACCAGTTTTCCAAAGTGGTGGTACCATTTTAGTGGTATGTGAGAGCTCCATTTGCTTCATATTCTTTTTTTTTTAAGATTGTATCTAATTATATATTTATTGAGAGAAATATATTTATATATTTATTATATATTTATTTATTGCGCATGCTCAAGTAGGGGGAGGGACAAAGAGAGAGGGAAAAAGAATCTCAGGCTGACTCTGCTGTGAGTGCAGGGCTCGATATCACCACCCTGAGATCATGACCTGAGCCGAAATCAAGAGTCAGATGCTTAACTGACTGAACCACCAGGGGCCCCTTGCTGTATATTCTTACCAATACTTGGTATTGTCGGCCTTTTAATATTAGCCATTTTCCTGGAGGTATAGTAGTATCTCATCATGGTCTTAATGTGCATTTTCCTGATGACTGATGTTGAACGTCTTTTCACATATTTATTGGCCATTCATTATATCTCCTGAAGAACTTTGTAGTTGCTTCCATTGGGCACTCAAGGCTATTCCCAACCTGGGACCAAAATGTATGCAATTCATCTCTC